TACGTCTCCTTCACATCACTGGGGTCACTACACCAGTCAGACATGCAGAAACAAACATGTCCACTAGACATGGTCAACCACAGTGACATTTCATAGCAGGGAAGGACGGCAAGTGGGCATTAACTGGTCCTGCTGGGAGTGTCAGAAAAAGACCTGGGAACCAGAAAGCCTGGGCTCATTTTCCCCACATAGAGGAGGGCACGTAGGCCTGTGCATGTGGGAGTCAAATTCTCACAGAGACACCAGACACCATGAGCAAATTCGGGAATCAAGGGGAGGAGCTACAATGGTGATGGTCCCCGTGAGCCAGGAGGAGGCTGTGCTGTCTCTAAGACATGGCCAGGAAAGCACAGGAGCCAACACTCAAGATCTTCCAGGCTACACTTTGAGATGAGCACTGAGAACAAGTGGAAACTTCTAAGATTCCAAGTGTAAGACCACAAACTGATCCTTTTCTCACCTGTAATTTAGGAAGACAGTTTGTGGTGAGTATTTGGTACAACAGTAAGATGCCTCTTGGGATACAGCATCCCCTAGCAGAGTGCCTGTCCAAAACACAGCTATGATTTCAGTTGCAGCTTCCTCCTAACGCACACCTTGGGAGGCACGAGGTGGTGATTCTAGTGCGTGGGTCCCAGACACCCACAGGGGAGAAACAGACTGAGGTCCAGGCTTCAGGCTTCCTTCTGGCAGATCCTCAGCTGTTGCAGGCATTTGGGGAGTGAACCCGCAGATGGAATGTATGTCTCTGTGTCTCTGGCTCAGTCTCTCCCTCTCTCACCTTCTCTCTCTCTGTAATCCTTCAAAAAAAACAGGAATGAAGAAAGGAAAAAAAAAAGTAGGAAGCAATAATGTAAAGCAGATGATTCCACTTCCCGGGGTAGGTTTTTGATTTTAGAGTGACGTTCATTAGCATAAGTTCTTTGGGAAACATAAACCAGAGGGATTTAGAGTAACATTTCTTAGAGTGGGCTTTGTAGCAAACTATTTAATGAACAACACAGCTTCAAAATAAGTATGGAACATCCTACATTCTTCAAGTCTCTCAAGGCACAGGTGCCAAACACTAAGAAGCCTTGCCGAGATCTGTTTCATGTTAGCTCTCTTTCAGTTGAGTTCACTTCTTCCTCCTGTGCTAGGAAACCTACACAACTGGTCCTGTGCCCCTTGGCAGCTACACTGGAAATGTCAATACAGCTCCCTCACGTGCTGTCTATGACCCAGGCTCTCTGCCAGAGAAGCTTATCTGAGGGCTGCTGCTGGCCCCTGGGATGTGCTAGTGTGAACTCTGCAAACCAGTACCCAGGCCGTACCAGGGTCAGTCCCACCAACTCTACCCATATGCCAAGTGTCAGTGTCAGTCCCATCATCTCTACCATTTGCACAGGTACATAATATTGCGGAAACGTAAAGCTGATCAAATCCCTCCTTTGCTTAAAATTTCAATGAATGCCTTGCAATTGCACTAGGAACAAAACAACATATTTTCAGTTGGATTTCTTGTTTCTTCTGTACCTTCCCTGCCACACTTGACCCCCCCCTTACCCAAGCCTCCCTCACAGTGGTTACCTCAGCACTCTGCTTGTCTGAGTTCAGGCTGTAGAGAATTCACACTAGAGCTCATCTCAGGAAGAGCAGTTTATCCCCAGCCATGGTCCTCATGATGGTCTGGCGCCCTCTGGTGGTAGCCAGACTTGGGCAGGGAGCCATGTACACAGAGGTGTGCTATGGGCAGAACAGGTGTTCCATTCCCCTGGGAGGCCTTGACCCTGCCGAAGATCCTCTGCAGATGGCTCCTGCTCCTCTTCCCCATGAGCCTTCTTGTGCCAGGGAGGAGTCAGACAGGAAGCCAGCAGGGTCCTTGGGTGGTCCCTGCTACAGGCCTGGCAAGCAGGCAGCCCAGGAGCTACTGCTGTGCTTTGAATACAGTTTGAATACCTCTCGCCACCCACTCACACATGCAGTTTCACCCTCCCAAGTCATAAGTCCCAGATTTGAAAGGGGTAGAGACATACTCAGATTTGGTGTTCAGAGGGGACCCCTTGGGAAGTGATTCAGTTTTGATAAAGTTATCGGGAAAGCACCTGTGATTGACTCCCAGGCCTTTGTAAGATGATGAAGAGACCCCAGATAGAGACACAGACCTGCATGTCACCTCTCAGGGTGCCACACCTGTGCTGCTCCAGGTCTCAGTGGGAACTACCCCATCTAAGACTGTGGTTCTCATGAAGCAAGAGCCAAAATAAATCTCTTTTCTGTGTAAAATTGTATAATGTTACCTCTCCTCGGGGTTTTATTTAGAGTAATAAAACCCAGATGAGTACTGCAGACCTCAAAGAGTGTCCTTTATGATATGTGCCTTTCCTGTGCACATATTATGTTTCAAGAAAAGTTCAGGGTGTGGAGATGCGGCACAGTGAGTTAAGCTACTCCCTGAGTTGCCAGAATGCTATCTTTACGCTGGTTCAAGTCCCAGCTGTTCTGCTTAAAATTCAATTCCATACTAGTATGCCTGGCAAAGTAGTGGAGGAAGCATGAATACTTGAGATCCTGCTACCCTCATTGGAGATCAAGGTATAGTTTCTGCTCTGACTCAGGGTGGACTAGCCTGGGGCACTGTGGCCACTAGGAGAGTAAACCAGTGGATTGAACATTCTCTCTCTCTCTCTCTCTGTCCCCTATCACTCTGCCATTCAAATAAATGATAAATATAAAAAAATAAAAGCTTAAAAGTAGATATAGACTTACAAGAAATCATTTGGAAAGTAATAAACCACTTTACTTTCCTTTTTTATCAATACAAAGTCATTTATTTTTAAGTTAGGAATAAAATAATCTTTTACACTTTTAAAAATTATAAACCAAAAAAAAAAAAAGCCTTCACATGCTGTATCCCAGTCTGTGAGCCCGAGGCCTCACTCTCAGTGGTCAGTAAAGGCCTATGCGTAAAGTTTGTTCCCCTGTTGCTGGAGTCAGTCCACTAGTTGACATCATAACCACGGGCAAGGGGCAATCCGTTGGTTCTGTCTGATTGCTAGGTGATGACTGGGAGTGAGTAGCCTTTGCGAAGCAAGCTAATGAGCAGCCCCTGGATTAGGGTGCTGCTCACCCTACCCTGGAAAGCTTTAATGTCAAAGCTGAAATATAGCCGGTACCCCAAATCAGGGAGACTGGCCAAGACCAGCAGGGAATCTGAGGCACTTGCCACTGAGTTAACACAGACACTGGAAGATATCCTAGCTGTTGCTTCCTACATAATAAGAATTAGGGGACACAAGTGGTCTAGTTCATTAACCCAACAGGAAGATCTACTCTGTAGTCGCTGGTCTCTCCCAGCTGACTCAGTCCTGGAGACACAATATCCCATAGGTCACGTGATAACATCAAATTGCTGTGGGATATTCTTGGGAGCCTATCATAGGCAGCAGATAGGGAAGATGTCAAAACACTACACTTCTCTGCTATGCAGAAAAACTGAGTAGGGATCAACTAGATAGATCTTCACTCCAAAAATCTCATTTGATCATTTGATCCTCCCATTCCTCAACTAGAAAACAAGTTTCTTGATGACATGGGAAGATCATATTCCTATAGTGATTCATTTGCAAGTAGGCAAGTGTCTGCAATTTTTAGCCTAACCTTTTTTTTCTTTTGAGGTCATATCTTTCACTTCTAGTTTCTTACTTCCTGAGACACACACACATACATGTACATACATCTCACACACACAGATATAAATATATATATCTGGAACACATGTGTGACCAAATACTCAAACTGTCTCTAATATTTCTGGAGTCTGAGACTCTAGCACCTTGTCCCTGGCCCAGTTTGACATCCCTGGTTATTTCTGACCTCAAAGCAATGGCTTCACAAAGCATCACTGTCTAATAGCAAAGTTTCCAAGCCTCAGACATGGAAACAAATATGCAGTACTCTCAGCCTTTGCAAATGACAGCCTCAGATGACCGCATCATCCTGGCCCCTCCTTAGTAAACATGAGAGAATATGACACAGATAAAGAGTCAAGGTGGCCCCAAGCTGAACATATGGAATTAAGAATTTCAAACAAGTCAGCCTCTCAGACCAAAATGGCATCTGCCAGCCTTACCGTTGCCAAACTAAGAATCCCTCTGCTTTGTTGAAGATACTCTCCTAAAAAGTACATTGAAGTTGCTAGGAGAATACCCCATGAGGTAGAACATACAGCTCCTTTGGGAGGGTCTCACGTGGGCTCTCCAAGGTGCAAGGCATAATTTGGCACACCCCAGGAGGAAAAAGAAGCCCACTGGTTCATATGGTCCAGGAGAATGGTACATCAGAGCTGGTGGGGCAGCAGGTGGTTCTGAGAACTCAGGGTTGCTTCGGGTAGGTTAGATTCCTCCAGGGTAGACTGTTTGCTGAGTCAGATCCAAGGATGGTTTACAAGGAAACAAAGGAACAGGTCCCACGCACTCTCAGGAAGGCCATTCAAACTCCATTCCCATCTGCAGACAAGGGTGGCCACTCCAGGATTTCACTGCAGCAGCCTTTTGGGACACTCTTATTTCAGTGCAACATAAAGTCCAATAATCAATGCTAAAATGCCCAGCAACACAACTACCATCACAATGATAATTATCAATTTCTTCGGGCCTGACTCTGGTATTTCACAGCTTTTTTAGTCTCATCTCGTGCCTTCTCCACGTAGTCCACTGTGTGCATGACATTGAGCTCTATGTTATCTAACATCTCACCCTGATTCTCCACCAGCATGGCGATGTCCATAAACATGTCGTGAAGCTCCTTGACGCTGCTCTCCAGCCTCACGATGTCCTTGTGCTGACCCTCGATCTCACAGAGCGCTTGTTTGGAAGCGGGAGGCGGATTTGGAGCACTCGGCCGCCGCGGGGGCTGGAGGGGCGGTGCTGCGGAGCCTCAGTGGTGTGGGACGCACCTGCTCGCCAGAGGCCGCCGCCCGCCTCCGCCTGCGCTCCTAGCTCCCTCCCTGGGGCCCAGCCTGCCGCCACTTCCGGGCGCTCGGCTGGGGCGCGCTCACCTGGGACGCGCTCCCAGCCTCGGGCACCCAGGCGGCAGGATGAAGGACCGGCTGGAGCAGCTGAAGGCCAAGCAGCTGACACAGGATGATGACACTGATGAGGTCGAGATCGCTATTGACAACACAGCTTTCATGGATGAGGTCTTCTCAGAGATTGAAGAAACTCGGCTCAACATTGACAAGATCTCAGAGCACGTGGAGGAGGCCAAGAAACTCTACAGTATCATTTTTTCTGCACCAATTCCAGAGCCAAAAACCAAGGATGACCTAGAGCAGCTCACAACTGAGATCAAGAAAAGAGCCAACAACGTCCGGAACAAGCTGAAGAGCATGGAGAGGCACATTGAAGAAGATGAGGTCTGGTCATCTGCAGACCTTCGAATTAGGAAATCTCAGCACTCTGACCTCTCCCGGAAGTTTGTGGAGGTGATGACCAAATACAACGAAGCTCAGGTGGACTTCCGGGAACGCAGCAAAGGGAGAATCCAGCGGCAGCTTGAAATCACTGGCAAAAAGACAACAGATGAGGAACTGGAGGAGATATTAGAGAGTGGCAACCCAGCCATCTTACTTTCCTTTTAAAAACAAGTGTGAGATGGTATTCTACATGATGCGGTCCAATTTTTGTAAAAAAAATTAATATTCACTTATAAAATTAGAAGTGGTTAGTTATGGATAATGGGGTTATGCATCATTTTTTACATACTTTAACTTCTATTTATGTGAAAGACACACAGAGAGAAACAGAGACACTCTGCAAATGCCTGCAACAGCTGTGGCTGGGACAGGCTAAAGGCAGGAGCCTGGGAATCCAGTGAGTCTCCCATATGGGGGCAAGAAGCCAAGTTCTTGAGGACTCCATCACCAGGGTCTGAGAACATGGGCCTGCCTGACCTTGGCCTGTGAATCTCCAGAACCATGAGCCAAAATACATCCCTTTCCTTTATTGTTAGCTTGCCTGGAGTATTTTGTTACAATAATGGAAACCTGACTAACATGCATAGAGGTGCTCAGTTTGTGAAAACCCATCAATCTGGGCCCAGCATTGTGGCATAGCATGTAAAGCCACTGCCTGTGATGCTAACATCCCATAGGGAGCCAGTTTGAGATTTGGCTGTTCCACTTCCAATTCAACTCGCTGCTAATGTGCCTGCAAAAGCAGCAGCAGGTGGCTCATGTGCCGGAGCCCCTGCCCCAAAATGGGAGACCTGGAAGAAGCTCTGGGCTCCTGGCTTCTGCATTGCAGAACCTCAGCTGTGGTGGCCATTTGAGGAGTGAATCGGCAGATGGAAGAGCTCTCTCGCTCTCGCTCTCTCTCGCTCTCTCTCACTACCCCGCCCTGTGTGTGTGTGTGTGTGTGTGTGTCTCCTTCTCTCTCTGTAACTCTTTCAAATAAATACAACTTAAATCTATTAAAGAGAAAGTACCTAAGTCTTATAACATGCATCTTCCTGTGTACATACTATATTTCAAGAAAAGTTTCGAGGCTGGTGTTGAGGGGCAGCGGGTGAAGCCAAAAGCTCTCACACTGATAGATCATATCAGAGCAGAGTTTCAAGTCCCTGCTGCTCCACTTCTCATTTAACACTCTACTAATGTGCCAAGGAAACCAGTGGAAGATGAAAAGGTACTTGGGCTCCTGCCAACCACCTGGGAGACCCCAATGGGTCTGGTCTCCTGGCTTCACCATGGGCCAGCTCAGGCCATTATGGCCATGTGGGATGTGAACCAGCAGATCAATGATTTCTCCTGCCACAACGATCATTCTGATTTTTAGAAAATGTATTTTAAAAATATTTAAAAGTTGCCATGCTGATTTAGACTTATAAAGTCACTTGGAAATTACATGAAAATTTAATTTTTTAAAAAGCTTTTTAAATTAAAAATTTAAAAAGCAGGAGGCAAGTATGTCCCCTACTGTATGGTCCCATATTTACAGGGAAATAAATAAATTTATTTACAACATTAATGTTGGTTTGTACTGGATAACAGGGTTTTGAGTCACTCTAAGACATTTTAGAAATGGTTTTCCAAGATGGTGGAATAGGGAGGGAGCTTACTGCTCTATTCTAAGGGAAGATAATTTTTTTAACTTCTATTTAATGAATATAAATTTCCAAAGTACAGCTTATGCATTACAATGGCTTTTCTCCCCCATAACTGCCCTCCCACCAGCGACCCTCCCCTTTCCCGCTCCCTCTCCCCTTCCATTCACATCAAGTCCTTGGGCCCTGCACCCCATAGGAGACCATGAGAAGCACCTGGCTCCTGCTTTCGGATCAGCATGGCCGTGTGTCGGCCGTAGCACGCCGGCCATGGCGGCCATTGGAGGGTGAACCAACGGCAAAGGAAGACCTTTCTCTCTCTCTCTCTCTCTCTCACTGTCCACTCTGCCTGTCAAAAAAAAAAAACAAACAAACAAATAAATAAATCTTTAAAAAAAGAAAATAAACCTTAGTAAACAGTATGAATGGGAATAGGAGAGGGAGGAGAAAGTGGGGTGGGTAGGGCAGGTATGGTGGGAAGAATCTCCATGTTCTTAAAGTTGTAGTTATGAAATATATGAAAGCAGTATTCCTTAAATAAAAGTTTTCTTTGGAAAAAAGGTATTCAAGGAATTCAGATCAAGAGAAACACTATAAAAGGCACCATAGTTGGCTTGAAGATGAAAGGAGAACCATGAAGAGCAATACAGGTACCTTAAGGAGCTAACAGACAGTCTGAAAACCAGGAATGAAACAGAGACCACAGCCATGCTACACGGAACTAATGAGCATGTGGTGATTCCCCCATACACACAGACACACAGCCTCCAGATAAGAGCCTAGGACTGCTGACAACTTGATTTCAGCTTTGAACTGAAGAAGACAAATCAATCAAGCTCCCCTAGATTTTTGATCACTGACAGAATTCTGAGATAATAAATTTTAATGGATTTTTTAAAAAGATATTTAAATACATTTTTAAGAATTATTTATTGATTATTTGAAAGGCATAGTTTCAGAGAGTCAGAGGCAGAGAGACAGAGAGAGAGGTCTTTCATCTGCTGGTTCACTCCCCAAATGGCCATAATGGCTGGAGCTGAGCCGATCCGAATCCAGGAGCCAAGACCTTCTTCTGGGTCTCCCAGGCATACTCAGGGGCCCAAGGACTTGGGCCATCTTCCACTGCTTTCCCAGACCATAGCAGAGAGTTGTAGCCAAAGTGGAGCAGCCAGAACTCGAACCGATGCCCATATGGAATACCAGCACTGCAGGCGGCAGATTTACCTACTATGCCACAGCGTTGGTGCTAAATATATTTTTAATTATTCAAAAAGAGTCAGTTTGAGAAACACACACACACACATGGAAAGAGAGAGAGAGAGAGAGAGAGAGCGATTCTTCTTCTATTGGTTCATGCTTGTGATTGAGCGAGGCTGAAGACAGCAGCCCAGAAATCAGAGACTGGTGGCAAGACCAAAGGGCTTGATGCATCACCGAATGGCTCTCAGGCTGTGCACTTTCAGGAGACTGGAACTGAGAGTACAAGGACTGGAACCCAAGCACTGCAATACGGGGTCTGGGCATCCCAAGCAGCATCTTAAACATTGCTTCAAACATCTGTTCCCCCAATTTTTATTTACTGATAAAACATATTCTTGGAAAACTGTATTACGAAAAACTATACACATAACTCAAAATTTTTTGACTCACATAAATGTATCTTTACTTCTATTTTTTCCATGAACTAGTTGAAGTCCCTTCATGTTATGTGCACACTCGAACCAAAACCAATGGGCCTGTAAATGGAATCCTAACACCTGCCTGCATCTCTGTAAGAGCAGAAGGTTTGGGGCTGAGAAGTAGAGAACACAGTGCTCCTGTGTGGTTGGAAGACCATGCCCTGGGCTCAGAACAAGCTGGACAGTGCCAGGGACCAGCTGTTGCAAGGCCAGTCACTTAAGTTCCATAGTACCTGCCACAAGACTCCATCTCTGGCTTGCCAGGAATGATTTGTTCAACCTCATTCCTTTGCTTAACCTGAAACATTCATGGAACATTGCTGAGCACATGGGATGTTGGCATTGGTGGCCTGTATTAGAAACTCTATCCTCAGTGCCCCAAAGGCCAGGCACGGCACTGGCACACTGAGTGCCAGGCAGGGCTAATGGCAGGGTAAACTTTCTTGTCTTATCTCTTTGCTGGGCCAGCCTGGTACAGTGAGATTGGGTGGCTTCTTTGCCACCAACACTAGATCAACCCTGGAGGTGAATCAGATAGCCCAGAATCAGGATTCCGCTCTGTCTCCCAAGATTTCAGGTAAAGAGGACCATGAAGACAGCTTCTCTGGGTGCCCCTGGTGTGGTCATCACATAATGACCAAATACATTCTGACCCAGGGGCAGAAACCAGATAGGACATTCTTCTAAGGAAAGAGCTCTTCTGAGACCCAAGGTCCAGTCCTGACAGTTTCACACTTGGTTATGAGAACCTGCTCTGACCACCTATCCCCTCAACTACAAGATGGTGATACAGCAGAAACAGTAATTTACTTATTTTTTTAGAAAGCTTTTATTTAATGAATACAAATTTCATAGGCACAGCTTTAGGAACATAGCAGTTCTTTCCCCCATACCCACCCTCCCAACCCCTCTCCCATCCCACCTCATACTCCTTCTCCCATCCCATTCTTCATTAAGATTCATTTTTACTTATCTTTATATACAGAAGACCAACTCTATACTAAGTAAAGATTTCGGTACGTTTACCACTATAGCCTGACCTTGTACAAGGCATGTCCATATTACTATAGACCTTCTGTTCCTGGCCGCTGTATTATAGATTCCCTGACATCATCCTGGGCATTTAGAGTATTTTAGGGGTCAAGATCATTTCAGGTTCCTCAGTAATAGTCACAGTGGTAGCTCCAGTCAAGACCCACAACAAGGTGCTGGGAGCTGCTCATAAGCTCTTGCCTCTAGCTCCAGCTGAGGCTGCACATGGAAACAACACACAGGGAGGGTGTTCCTCCAGTGCAGCACTTCAGCCACACTCTGTGGGCTCAAGGAAAGTTTCTGGCTCCCAGGTGGTACCTCCAGTGGAATCTCTGGAAGAGCAGATTCCCCTGCCTCCTGATTTAGAACAGAATGTAAGGAACGCTAGAGTCAGAACCAACATCCATCCCATAACATAGCCGAGCAAAGTCAGGTGGCCACTTTGCAGGGAGCCTGTTCTGATTCCAGCAACCTGCACATTACTGACCGCAGCCTCCAGCAGAACTTCATCACCAGGTTCTGGGCAACAATACCACATAAGGGAAGGGCTTGTTCCCCAGACAGATATCGTATCTGCTCCCATAACAACTCGAGGTAAAGGAAACAACTTCATCCAAAGCTTGTCTGAAGACTGCACATCCCATGTCCTATCACAGGTGCATGTCTGTATGTTCCAATCCCATAGACTTCTCCAACCCCACTGGGAGCCAACAGACCTTGGCTCTTTTGTTCATCTCGTCTTGAAGAAATGACCAACAGCTGCCCCAGACGATGGTACAATAGATTTCCCATTGGATCTTCTGACTTCTTAAAGCTCCCAACTGGA